CTACAACAGCTACATCGCTACTACCTTTAGTACTGTCCCTACCACTACAACAGCTACATCGCTACTACCTTCAGTACTGTCGCTACCATTACAACAGCTACATCGCTACTACCTTCAGTACTGTCGCTACCATTACAACAGCTACATCGCTACTTACTTCAGTTCTTCACTACCATTACAATAGCAGTTACTGTCACTACCACTACTACAAACAGCTACATCGCTACTACCTTCGGTGCTGTCACTACCATTACAACAGCTACATCGCTACTACCTTCAGTACTGTCTCTACCATAGCAGCTACATCGCTACTACCTACCATTAGCAGCTACATCGTTCAGTACTGTCACTACAACAGCTACATCGCTACTACCTTCAGTGCTGTCCCTACCACTTACATACAGCTACATCGCTACTACCTTCAGTACTGTCTCTACCATAGCAGCTACATCGCTACTACCTTCAGTACTGTCCCTACCACTACAACAGCTACATCGCTACTACCTTCAGTGCTGTCCCTACCACTACAACAGCTACATCGCTACTACCTTCGGTACTGTCATCCTACCACTACAACAACAGCTACATCGCTACTACCTTCGGTACTGTCCCTACCACTACAACAGCTACATCGCTACTACCTTCGGTTCTGTCACTACCATTACAACAGCTACATCGCTACTACCTTCAGTACTGTCCCTACCACTACAACAGCTACATCGCCACTACTACCTTCGGCTACTGTCCCTACCACTTACAACAGCTACATCGCTACTACCTTCGGTACTGTCCCTACCACTACAACAGCTACATCGCTACTACCTTCGGTACTGTCCCTACCACTACAACAGCTACATCGCTACTACCTTCGGTACAGTCTACATCGCTACTACATCGCTCTACCTTCGGTACTGTCCCTACCACATAGCAGCTACATCGCTACTACCTTCAGTTCTGTCACTACCATTACAACAATACATCGCTACTACCTTCGGTTACTGTCCCTACCACTACAACAGCTACATCGCTACTACCTTCGGTACTGTCCCTACCACTACAACAGCTACATCGCTACTACCTTCTGTACTGTCCCTACCACAACAACATTACTACCTTCAGTACTGTCCACTACAACAGCTACCACTCACTACAACAGCTACATCGCTACTACCTTCGGTTCTGTCACTCCACTACCACATCTACATCATCGTTACTACCTTCGGTTTCTGTCACTACCATTACAACAGCTACATCGCTACTACCTTCGGTACTGTCCCTACCATTACAACAGCTACATCGCTACTACCTTCGGTACTGTCCCTACCACTACAGCTGCATCGCAGCTACATCGCTACTACCTTCAGTACTGTCCCTACCACTACAACAGCTACATCGCTACTACCTTCGGTACTGTCACTACCACTACAACAGCTACATCGCTACTACCTTCGGTACTGTCCCTACCACTACAACAGCTACATCGCTACTACCTTCAGTACTGTCCCTACCACTACAACAGCTACATCGCTACTACCTTCGGTACCTTCACTACCACTGTCCGCTACCACTACAACAGCCACTACATCGCTACTACCTTCGGTACTGTCCCTACCACTACAACAGCTACATCGCTACTACCTTCGGTACTGTCCCTACCACTACAACATCTACATTGCTACTACCTTCAGTACTGTTGCTACCACTACAACAGCTACATCGCTACTAACTTCGGTTCTGTCACTACCATTACAACATCTACATCGTTACTACCTTCGTTTCTGCCACTACCATTACAACAGCTACATCGTTACTACCTTCGGTTCTGTCACTACCATTACAACAGCTACATCGCTACTACCTTCGGTTCTGTCGCTACCACTACAACAGCTACATTGCTACTACCTTCGGTTCTGTCACTACCATTACAACAGCTAAATTGCTACAAACCCAGCACGAATTAATATAGAAACCACCCGTCAAAATCCGGAGTAGTCTTGGTCTTCAGCCACCCATGCTTGTCATAAGAGGCGATAAATGGGATTGGGTGGTCAGGCTCGCTGACTTGGCTGACACATGTCATTGCATAGATCGATACTCATGCTGTTGATCACTAGATTGTGTGGTCCAGATTCGATTATTTACTGACTGCAGCGATATAGCTGAAATATTGCTGAGTGCCACGTTAAACACCAAACAAACAAAAAAGAAGCCGAAACATCTACTGCGTGGATAGTGGTATGAATGATAGACTGTTGATTAAAGATGTGTTTTGTCCTCCGGTAAACTATTTCTCACGGTAGGTCAGTCTCGACGTAAATAATGGTTATAATTGTATTATTTTACGACGCTTCTGTTTAAGAGTTGCTTCCCTTTGACCATGTCCTCTTTCCCGACTATCACTTCCTCCAACCCCCACTCCAAAAATCATGGCAACGCTGCGGCAACATTTCCTGCCACAGAACCTTCTTTTATCCATATTCCTTACATCTCAACGACCACTTCTGCTCCACAAAGTTACCCCTACCTAATGTACATCTGTATTGTCACTTCTCCATAACCATGTTTCATGTCATTTTGCGACACTTTAACTTCAGAGTTGCTTCCCTTAGACCAATTCAAGTTCGCGACAGTTGGCAGCAATCACACTGCTCTTTCTCTAAACTGTTTAGAATGTACTCGGACTCTGTGTGTTTCTTTAAAGTAATAGTGTATCTGAAGAAGATGTTCATCTTTCAGATAAATTATTTGTAAGCATTTCTTAGAAGTCGAGGCAAAGCAGCCTATACACAATATGAAAACAACTTGATTATACTGTCATGGCGACGTTTCGGTAGGGACCCATATACCGTTGTTAGACAGAGCTGACAAAGCTTAGATCCTTCTTGCGTCGCTTTTACAGTGTAATATATGTTAAGAAGCTGTAACCCATACGTTTTTCGTTTACTTTTTTCACGTATATTTACAAAATATTACGATCTTTCACTGATGCAGAAAGTTTTTTTCACCACTTCACCCAATCGTTTCTACGTCTATTGCATAATGGTAGTGCAGATCAAATGAACATATTCAGTTGCGTAACCTAAAAAAGAATACAAATAAACGTAGATCTATATACCTACAAAGATTATTAAACATAACTTACTATAGTCCGTTTGGCTCAAAAGCGGACCGATGAATTGCAATCTAACTCGAAAACTAATAAACATAAAATACTCAATGAAACGCTGATCATAATCAAAACATCATACCCACTCTGTGAGAAAGGGACAGCCAGGTGTTCGAGAACGGATGGAGACGGCACAGCACAGGTTAATGAATAAATACCTTTGTCTGTGAACGTGCTTCTCGAACACCTGGCTGTCCCTTTCTCTGCACTCCTCCCCTCGTAACAAACAGTGAACTGTGTCAATATTTTAATGATAGTTTGTTAAACAACTTTATTATTTTTAGGACAATAATTCTGCAAAAACCTCACAGAGTGGGTATGATGTTTTGATTATGATCAGCGTTTCATTGAGTATTTTATGTTTATTAGTTTTCGAGTTAGATTGCAATTCATCGGTCCGCTTTTGAGCCAAACGGACTGTACATGTCACTTTCTAAATTGTATACTGTTTGATTGAAGTCTCATTTCCTGTACCCAGACCTGCCACACAAAACAACGATTCTATCAAATATGTAAACAAAAAACAAAAACAAAGACAAAGGCACTGCTAATGATGTTTTCGGAAATGTCCAATCGGCACTACAGTTACAGGAGAGGTTACATAGTTTTGATTTTTTTGAGCAGACAAATTGGTATAAATCTAAGTCAGTTGGGCTTAACACTGCTTTAACGGTATTCCTGTTATATCACAGCAGGTCAGCTTGATGTGGAAGAAAATACCACTCAGATAATGGTCATTAGATATTCTGGTCCTGAAAGAGGTGACGATATAAAGGTCTTTTGGTGGTAAACAGTCGGAAGTTGTTGCAATCTATAGATATTCGGGGGTATTGAATTTATTCCTGAGCTCTCTGGAACCAAGGCTCAACATTATTTTACCAGGCAGGAATATACAACTGTTATGTCGATATTCGACTCATATAACGTTTGGTGGTATTTGAAGTGCCGATCTCTTTACACATTTCAGTGGAAAGTTCTTCCAATCATTACTATGGGCCGGAACAGTAGGTAATCGTCTCCCTGCAGAACTGTTTTCAGAAACATTTAGATTATCGCCAGTGTTATCTCATGCTAGGATCCCTTGATGAGTAAGGTCGAAGAACATGAGTTTCTATATCGCAGAAATCCTCTTAGATTTTGGCTATGTGAGGGTTTTTACTGTGGTTTACATAAAGAGACTGGGAGTTATGTATTTAAGGTCAGACGAATAGAGAACTATTTTATGTATTTATATTGTCAGAAGAATAGGAAACTATTTTATGTATTCATTGTCAGACGAATAGAGAACTATTTTATTTGTTTATTGTCAGGCGAATAGAGAACTATTTATTGAAGATGAAATCCATGTCATGTGTATAATTCTTCTATGACTCTTGTACATAATTTAGTAAAACAATCCAATTCAATTAATATCGTTAGTAAGAAAAATGTCCAAACAAATTTATGCTATTGTCTAAAACATGAAACGAATTTGGTAATAAATGGCGTTAAACGTTTTTTGGTAACGTAAGTTGTATTACTGGTCGTTGCACGGGCGGTCATTCGGTAACAAAATATGCATCAATTGAACTAACCTTTTCCAGCTCGTGAAATGCTACTAAAAAGGTATTAACAGTTACTTATAGAGATAAAAAAACCCACCTGTCTAAATCGGAATCATCACGGGATATGTCAGTATGTCATACATACGTTGTATACTTGCAACAGTCGCTCGTTGTACTCAACATCAACCTATTATTCGGTAGCGATACCAATAAAGGGACAAAACTCTGTCAAACTGTCTTGAGTATTTTATGACGCTTCTTTGAGAGTTACTTCCCTTTGACTGTTCCAGGAGTCATTGAGCGCCTCCGACACAGCTCTTCTGGGAAGATGCGAGGATTTGGAGAAAATCTGCGCTTCCCTGTCACGTTCCCATGACAACCCTGGTTTGTGCCTGTGCACGCACCTGCTTCCTGAAGCCAAAAAATCAGCTAGTCAAAAACAGTATCCAAGTTCTGGGAGACGGTCGAGAAAGGGGAATGGCGCCATGAGTGAACCACATCCGGATCAAGAGGTCGTTATGAAATTAGAGGATTTTTTATATTGGAACTGATTTGTGCCGAGCTGACTAGGTTGTCAAGGATGTTTTGGATTCACAGAATCCTTGCAACTGTTCGTGGAAGCCGGTGTTGTTATGTTGTGTATCCACAGGTCATTGCGTATGAATATATACAAATTAGTGACTGTATGGGATGGGTCACGTGTGTGTTCTTCCCATGTAATAAGCAGTGATCTGCTATATACTTGTTGACATCAACTTGCCCCTTTAAGCGTTGTGAAACGTGCGTTGTTGATCTATTTATTTAGAGCACCAGTTGGACATTGTTTTGGTAATTTTAGAATGAGTCTCAGGTCCATGATAATATTCTGCAATGCGGATGTTTTTATGTATGTGTGAATCGATGCAAGCGAATCTGTATGTGCAATATTTATGTTGTTTACCATTGTTATGAATAAATTTTAAATATTTCCATAATGAGTTTTTCAGTTTTTTAAAGGTGAAAGAAAATTATGAATATTCTGTTTTTATTTGTTTATTGGTTAGGGTCACTGTTGCAATATCCCCGTATACCGTGTCCTTGAAATAATTCAGCGTGGACCAGAAAAACCGGTGGTTGAAAATATGAGCATGGATCTACGCAGGTGGGTTGTTGGTTAACCTCGCTCGGTCTGATGACTGCGATTTAAGAAAATATGAATTCTGGAACAGACAATCCGGTGATTGACATCATGAGCATCGATTTACGCCAATGGGATACGATAACATGCATCAACCACGCCAGCGACCCTGACCACCAATACGACATGCACGATTTGCTGAAGACCGTTTCTAACACGGATCTTTACAGGGTACGATCAATGGCACGCAATCTGGATGATCACCAAGCAGGCCCACCGGTTCATGTAGTGCATTTTATACGTAAAGTCGAAAGCTTTTTTGTTAATGTAAAACATAAAGCCTTATGTAAATTAGGAGAGTGAATGTCTTACGCGTGGCTGGATAAATCCAGCATGGCTAAGACCTGTATCAACTGAAATAGGTAAACCGGTGGTTAATAGCATGAGCACCATAGTAAGGTAACGCATGGCAACCACGTAATCACTTTTAGCGGGCTCTTCCGGCAGACTCACTGTACTTGGGAGCTAGAGGGTCTCCCATGCATTGAGAGTTGACATATAAAGGCTAAATATTGTTCTCTTACAATCTTGTTACAGGGTTTTTATCCCCAGGAGACAGTTTTGACAATAAATATAATTTCTTTAACCATCTACATTCGTAGGTGACAACTGCAGGAACGAGGAGGTAATCAATATGTCAGGCTAATCATGATTTGCAGCAACACTCCTTCATTTCCCAGAACGGAGGCCATTAACAATATCACACAAACAGGATGTAAGTATTACTTAGTTCATAACAGTTAACTTTCGCGAGGGTCGATTGTAAATTTTACTACTTTGAATTACGAATAACCAAAATTCGTGGACATCACGTTTAGGTTTTGATTAAGAAGACTATTAAGAATGTGTAAGACTGTAAGTGAGTGAGTGAGTAAGTATGATTTTACGCCGCTTTTAGCAATATTCCAGCAATATCGTGGGACGACAGAAATGGGCTTCACACATTGTGAGGAATCGAACACGGATCTGCAGTGTGAAGAGCGGACGCTTTAACCATCAGCCTTCCCGACCGCCCCCGATAAGACATGTAAGAACCTCAAAACGAGGGGTTTTGAGGCCGCAGTCAGCATTACGCGATCTACACCATGGCGGCCTATGTACGATCGAGTCTGGACTAGACGCACCAATGGTTGATGTTATGAGCAACGTCTGAGGCCATCGGGTCACGATGACACGCAACCAACCAGTGGTTCACAAGTAACAGGTGCGATTTCCAACACGACTATATACAAAATGTGAATTCCTTTCATGTATGTTGCCAGCAGGGATAAACAAAACGGGTCAATGCAAAGCAGTGTAAAAGTGGACCACGAAGATCTGAGTTAGAATTTATCTTCAGCAACCCATGTTTGTCGTAAGAGGCCACTAATGGGATCGGATGGTCAGGTTTGCTGAGTTGGTTGACATATGTCATCGTTTCCCAGTTGCGTAGATCGATGCTCATGATGTTGACCACTGGATCCATACTCGCTTATTTACAGGCCGCCGCTATCTAGCTGGAATATTGCTGAGTGGGGCGTTAAATAACAAACAAAACAGTGTAAAAGTGTTAAACGTTCACCACCTCTCTAGAGAATTATTGATACTGAATATTGCATTATCACTGTTTATTGCGGGATGGTATTCTCAATGATTTACTTGCAGATACGTACTGCGTCTGGTTACGTGTAAATATTTCTGTCTTGTATAGTTGTCACGATATGCGGCTTTTACACTGGACAGAGGCCGTTCATGTGTTGGCGTTCATAGTCACGTGACTGAATTCCTGAAATGACGTCACACTCACGGACTACTTCCACATTCCACGAAAACCGGGAAATCCCAGTTCCGACGTTCATGCAGTTTGGCTCTCATTAATGAAGGTTCATACTCCAATGAACTCACATAACGTGACAATCTAATCATAATCGTTAAGGCAGGCACCAATGGTGTGCTTATACGAAAACAATACATGCACGTTATAGCCATCACGATCAACATAACATAAACTAAGGCTAGTCTCTGAATGTATGTAATTTTGATAGTTAAATAGTCTCATTTCAATTGAAAAGGACCCCCAATGAGATGTGAGATTCAGAACTTGAGGAAATATAGACTTGCTTCGTTTAGGGCTTTAACATTTGCAGGGAGGGCTATGCAGGAGGCTAGGAAAAATAATGTGGCTCAGGGACTGTGAGACAGACTAAACATAACATTACACTGTATGGAATTGAAATCTGAAATATAAGTAGAGGCAGACGGCGTTATTATGGACACACAATCTGCAATAGATGAACTTACAGACGCTTATATCAGAATATGTGAGAACATATGTTCAAAAGTCATCCTTTGCCAGTACCTTTAATCCTCGGCTTGTATTTGGAGGAACGTCAAACCCGGTCGTAATGCCGACATATAATGTGAGTGAGTATGGTTTTACGCCGCTTTTAGCAATATGTCAGCAATATCGAGACGGGGGGCACCTGTAATAGGTTTCTCACATTGTACCAATGTGGGGATTCGAACCTAGGTCTTTGGCTTTAGTAACCACTACCCCACCCCGCCGGTGGCCCGTATAACTATTTGAGTCTGGACCAGACACACCTGGCTAACCCCTGGAGCCAAGTCTCCTCTTACGATCTAAATATAACCGCCTTGTCGAACAGCATGGGTCTTTGGGTAGGATGCTCTCAGACCAAAAATCACAACCTGGACTTATTAGATTAGAACTCGTCAACTTAGTGGCTATGGAATGTAACCATTTAGATCTAAAAGCACTTGGTCACCCCAAAAGGCTGCCAGACCCAAAATATAGCCAAAATATAGGCTGGTTCCAAAGCCGATCTGTGATAAGCGTCTTAACTGCATATCGATATATCAGCGACCTGTAGAAGATCTAGTGCCTCGTTCCACAAAGCGATTGTAGCGCCAGCAGTAGCCCAAGTCTCCAGAATTCGTTCATGTGTCATTTTCAGAAACACATTGAAAAGGTACATCGGCTATAAATTCATGATGGTGCCTCACCATTCCGATGACCGTGGATTTAAACTTGCGTTTCCGTTGTACAAAATTACCTTGTTTATTTCAGCGTATCTGTTGATACGCATCGGGAAAGTGAAACTAAAGTACGTGTAAATGACCTCATGAGAGACTCGTGATGCACGTGCAGTTGTCTCCGTGACAGGTTGACAGGCGAGACTCGTGAAACACGTGCAATTGTCTCCGTGACAAATTGACAGGCGAGACTCGTGAAGCACGTGCAGTTGTCTTCGTGACAGGTTGACAGATTGACCACACGTTGCACGTGATTAATGTGCAACCTTCAGCTGCTCAAATTCTTGACCGCCCCTTAAAATACTTTGTGACTCATAATTCAATGAATTGTCGGAAGAGCGCGCATAAGTAATAACGAGAGAAGAAAACATTTCACATAGGGGTGTGCTTTAGAAAACCAACCAGCAGCATTTTGATCCGTGTCTACTGGACAAAAGCATTCACCTTCTGCAGGAAGGAATGTCACTTTCCGTTGGTGTTTTCTGGTAAAGATAATGGTGCTGACTCACATCTAAGATATGTTCTGTTTGAGTCAGGGTTAAAGCATATTGCTCTGCCCCTCCATTTGTTAAAGGTATTCATGGAATTTAGGTAACACACACATCACACATAACGTCACACTTTTGTGCTTTGTGTTATGTTACTGTTTTAAGATATATCACCGATACTTGGTTACACATATGGGTTCACGCACAGCGGTCAACAGACGGGTAGGTTAGATTGTAGATTGGATTTTGCGAAGGGTGGTGGTGTATCCTAGTGGTTACGGTGTTCGTTCGTCACGCCGAGGAATCGATTTCGATTCCCTGAGTGGTTACATGATGAGAGGCTCATTTCCGGTGTCCTTCGCTATATTATAACACGCTAGCGGTGTAAAACTATAGTCATTCACTGTAACTAGCGACTTTTAAATCTGGTGGTCAGATTTGTTTGATTGCCTGTTATGCTCGGACGGTGTTTGACGTTGCTCATAACATTAATGACAAGACGGTCTGACCCCAGTATTTACGTCACGCCGCCATTTAGCCGGATGTCCGTTCTCCAAGTTTTACCATCACACGGATTATAACGGGAACATTTTGTGCCTGGTTTAAATGGACTGTTGAGTTTGTGCCATTGTGACTTGCGATGAAGCGCAAATGAAGGATTAGACAATGTATTTTGAAGGGATAACATTTTCCGGAACCTGTACATGACAGTGACTCTATTTTCCTTTGATCTGAGCCCAAATTGAAGGCCGATATGCGAAGTTCTGCTGACTTGTTGAGATAGGTTACTGTGGTATGGGAGTGGTGGGTTAAGACGGATATGGGCGGTTGGGTAGCATAGTGGTTAAAGCTCTCGCTCGTCGAGGTTCCATTCCCTAAGTGGGTGCGATATGTGAAGCCCATTTCTGGTGCTCCCGCCGTGATATTGCTGGAATATATGACGATAAAGCGGTGTAAAAAGCTTACTCACTCACTCCAGACAGATACCGTGCTGTTTCAGCAACAAGTGGCAGGTTGGCCAGCATGCAACAAGAGAACGCGAATGGCCGATATAAACTATCATGAGTTGTTGCGAAACTGTAGATTGCAAGGAGTGAATATGTTTATACGCCGCTTTGACCGTCTCCGTGGTGTAGTGGTTAGAGCGTCCGCCTGGAGAGAGGAAGGTCGCGGGCTCGATCCCCGACCGCGTCATACCAAAAGACGTTAAAATATTGTACTTGTTGGTCCCTGCCTGGCGCTCGGCATTAATGGGTACAACAAGGACTGG